CCCCGTCACCCTCAGGGCTGACCAGGCCAGGCCCTTGAGAACCTTAGGGCCCCTTCAGGAATTATTGGCATCCTTCTCGAGCACACAGGCCTGTCTTTTTAAAAACATTTCCCCCCTTCCCTTACTGGGATTGCCCCGATCTGAAGTAGTTTTCTCTACAAATAGAGTAAGTCCTTGAAATGGAACAAAGTCTACTACACTGGGACCAACCTTGGCTTCTGTCTGTCCTATGCCTGGGGCCCATCTCAAATAAAGGTGGGCAAAACTCTTATCTGAAGGGCTGATAAAGAAGTGACTGTCTCGTGCTCCTTTGGAACCTTCTCAGTTTGGCCTGTGGCATGTAGTAAGTCACGTTTCACAATCTTTTTTTTCTTTTTTCTTTTAAATATGTCTTATTGATTTCAGAGAGAGGAAGGGAGAGGGAGAGGGAGAGATAGAAACATTAATGATGAGAGAGTCACTGATCAGCTGCCTCCTGCATGTCCCCTACTGGGGATAGAGCCTGTAACCTGGGCCTATGCCCTGACCAGGAATCAAACCTCTATCTTCTGGATCCTAGGTCAATGCTCAACAGCTGAGCCATGCCATCTGGGTACTTGTCACAGTCTTTACTCTTGTGCTTTTTGTGACAGTACAGACCCACTGAAATCTATTGTTTTTCATTGATTCGCATTTTACATGATTGAATATTTTGGACTTGGCTTATTGCCTTATGGTGGAATGTTACTATATTGAGTACCTATTGTGTGCCATGGTACTGTGCTAGGTTTATGGCAATGGACAAATGCAACATGGTCTCTGTTCTCATGGAACTTGGTTTTTCACAGAGGAAATGGACTAATAAGCCAATAAAATAACCGCAATCTGAGATAAGGGCTATGAAGAAATCAAAGGACTGAAACAGAAAGTAACAGGGGGTCTCACTTGAGGTGGTTGGGGAACCTTTTCTAAAGGGGCAACATTTGAACTGAAGAAAATGAGATGGAGAGAACTGAAGGGGAAGCATTCTAGCTGTCAGGATCAGCAGTGCAAAGGCCCTGAGGTGGGACTAGAAAATACTTAACTTTAAGTTAGTGAATGTGGATCCAGGAGTCCTCTAAAAGAAGAAACTGGGGAAGATGGAAGCCCTAGAGCCAATGCTGAAACCACAAGTTGAAATTTGCTGTGGTTCAGTCAGCTCTAGACTGTCCTGTACCAGGAGCTGTGGGTGTCTGTGCCACACACAGGATGGGGATGGCTCAAGGCAGTAACTTTTTGGAAAGCATGGAGAGCCCTTCCTGAATCTCAGGGACAGTGCAGGCTGCAGGACTCTGATGGCTAGGAGTATTTGAGCTTAAGCACCCTTTATCCCTCTCCCTAAAAAATGTGGGGTCTGGCCTAAGCCCCCCTTCATTCAGCAATGGTTGGTTGAGGCCTACTCTGTGCCAAGCACTGTACATGGCACTGGGGATACAACAGTGAACAAGAAGGATAAACCCTTGCCCTCAAGGAGCTTATATCTCAGTAGGGGAAGCACAAGCAAAACAAAGCGCGAGCACACACACACACACACACACACACACACACACACACACACACCCCTGCCCCAAACAAACTCGATGTTTTGGAGAGAAGTGTTTGGGGAGAGCTCCCTTCCTGGATAGGAGCCCTGAGGTTTGGGCCCCTTCATTAGTTTTTCTCCATCAGTCCTTTGCTAGTGGATTCTACTCTGAGACCAGAGTGCTCTGGCCCTTGGGTCCTCTTTCTTAGCGGTGAGAGTTTCAAGAGAAACACACATGCACACGTTCGCACGCAGGCTCACACATACACCCCTCCCCTTTTAAGGGCTGTTAAAGGCCCACACACAGACATAGGAACACCCAAACGCACATACTTCTGTAATCTCCCCAAATCCCCCAAAGCCTGGGGACGGGGGGAGTGTGTGTTTCTGCTTTCCCCTTTAGCTCAGGAGAAGCCAGCTGGGTGCCTGGGCAGTGGTGATCAGGCTTAGCCCCACACCTCCCTTCTCCTGGGCTGGTCCCTGGCTGGGTCTGGTCATTCCCATACCTGGCCTTCCCAGCTGCCGGGAGGTAAATGAGTGTGCTGGGCAAACATCCTCGAAGCTTCCTGCTGCTCCCCTCTGAGACAACAGACCTCTTCCTCCCCCGCCCCCCAATCCTCCCAGCTGGGGCTTCTCTGGGATCCAAAGCCATTTTCCTCTAGAGAAACCAGAGTCATCCCTTCCCCTTAGCCAGAGGAGTGAGGCCAGAAGCACACAGATCTAGTGTCTCTACCTGGAGATATGACCTGTTCTCCCTTGGGTCCTTTATCCAACTTCTCTGAGCACCAGACCTTCTCTCCTACCTGCCCAGGGGCTGATCACAGGGTCCTGGGAAGAGGGCTCTAGGGGTGGCCACATCAGGAACTGTGGAAGGTGTGGGGAAGGGCAGCCCCTTCTGAGTGGTGTCTCCAAGAATCACATAGATGAGACTGCAATCGCATGACGGTATCTTCACAAAAGAAAAATAAGGCACCTGGCCACCTCCAAGCACACTTGACTTGCCTGCGTACTCAGTCTCCTGTCTGTCCAAGCGAATGTGTGCTGCTTCCGTGGCAGTGTTCACGGTGAGCATACTTTGTGATGTTTGCTTTTTGCACAGGGCAACAGAGCGCACACATTTTCCACCTGACTTTATGGCCTTGATCTGGATTTTAAAGGATAGCGAATATCCTGCTCCCCATCTCCCAGACTGAGAAGCATGCAGATTCCATCCCTTAACCCTGGAAACATTTTCCTATCTTCATGCAGAATGAAGAGGGAGATGGGGTGGGGGTGGTATGGGGTTTCAGGTAGAAGCGATGGGACACTTAAATGGAGGGACCAGAGAAGGAAAGTGACTTGCTTAAGGTCACACAGCTCCTACCTGAGTAGAGCTTCCTGCCACTCTATCTAGTCTCTGGAGCAAGTTAATTATGGAAGCTTATCTGCCAGGCATTGTCCTACATTCATCTTTAATTAATTTTGTCACTAAACTTCTACAATAACACTATGGGGAAGGATCCCTATGTCCATTTTTCAGATGAGGAAACCAGAGGATGAAAAGTCACTTGTCTGAACTGCCCAGCTGGCTGGTGGCAGAAGCACAGCTGGAACCAAATTTCCTGACTCCCAGCACAGGAGTTGTTTTAGGAATCCTTTCCCTTCCCCTGCCTCTCCTGGCCCGGCCTAGGACCGAGGTCAAGAGCTTTTCCAGCAGGGCTTTCCCTCCCCAGTCCGTGCTGGATACCACTGTCCGGTCGTGCCTCCTTTCCTGCGCTGGACCAAGGCCCAGAGGAGCAGCTGGGGAGGCAAGGCTGAATGGAGCAGCAGGAAGAGGCTGTAGGCGGCAGAGTTCATTCAGAAGAAAGCCCAACTCAGAGCTGCTGGGGGCTCTGAGGGAACCTCGCAGGGGGCTCTACCACCCCCCTTGGCTACAAGGGTACAAAGTCTAACAACCCCCCTCCCTCTGACCAGTATGTTACCAACTCTAGGAGAGGTGTGGGGAACCCCAGATCCCTGCCACTTTATTCCTAGGATCTGTGCCAGACCATCCTTAGAAAGACTTGATCCAACTTTTGCCCATTTTATAGACAAAGAAACTGAGACCCAGGGAGGAGAGCTGGTGGTGTGGCCAACTCACAGAGGGAGGCAGAAGCAGAGGCAGGTCTCCCCACTACCAGTTCAAGCCCTCTCCCTCCTCCACCTGGCCACTCTGCCCAAGTGTGCTCCCTCTGGCTGGGACCAGGAGCCTTCCTCAGAGAGCAGGGTGACCCAGCTCTCCTGCCTAATTAAGATCAGGGAGACCTCACACCCCATGCCTCCCAAACTCAGGTTCCCGCCGCTTGGCTGCTTGGCTGGTTTTCCCACCATCGGTCTAGAGGCCAGGGACAGTTTAGGTGGAAGTCCAAGATGCCCAACCCTCTAAATCTCTATGCACTTGGCTCTTGTCTGGCCAAGTTTATCTTAGTCCCAGCAGGTAGAGGCCAGGAAGTGGAGACCCGTGGGATGATCTTTGGATTGGTGTGTGTGCCTGTGTGCGCCCCTGCCTGCATGTGCACCAGAAACTGGAGGTTCACTGCATGGGGAGCATCCTACCAGGCTCTCCCGGCTGCCCACATTTTAGCCGGGAAGGCTCTCCGGAACCCAAATATTTTTTTCTGTTACTGAGCCCATGCCCCTCCCCCACGGCAGGGCCTTTGGGCTGAGCCTGAAAGAGGGAGGGAGGGAGGGAAGGAAGAAGAGAGAGAAGCCACGTTTCCTTAGGGTGGGAGGGGAAGGGAGAAAAGGGAGAAAAAGGACAAGCCCAGGGACAGAGTCACAGAAAGGGACAGAGAAAGTCAGCCAGACACCAGAGAGAGAAACGGACCTGGAGACGGAGATGGGGGAAAGAACCTCCCTCCTGAGCGATCCCCCTGTGCTGCTCTGACCAGCTGCACGTCAGGTCCCTTCCTGGGGACATCTCCTTCCTGACTTTGGGGCGGCCGCGGCAGCACCCCTAAGTTCCCGAGTCTGGCTCAGGTCCCCCCGGGAGGCGTCGGGTCCCTGGCCCTTGGAACACTCCCCTGTGCGCCTCCCAGCGGAGAACCAGCTGCGGGGCTACTTTGCGCCCAGCCTGGTCCTGGAACCCCGGGCGGGGGCAGGACTGGTGTCTTTCAGGCTCATATCTGAGAATCGGGGGACCCCGACGCCTCGACGTCCACTCCGCCTAGAAGGCCGAGGCCAGCGTATCCACGGACGGAGCCCCCGGGGGCGCGCGCCCTGGCGCAAGCTCGAGGCTCGGGTCCAGGCTCGGGGGCTAGGGCGTGCTGAGGGATCGAGTCACCAAATCTCAGCGCTCTAAGCACGTGTCCCTCCGGGGGACCCTCATGGGCCCCCTCCTCCGCGTCTGCCCAGTGATGCGCAGCCCCGTCCTTCGGGGGCCCAGGCGAGCGGCGAAGAGGGGTGCGAGCGGTGGAAGGGGCGCGCAGACCCTCCGTCTTACCGCATTGTTGAGGAAATCCGACTCGTTCAGGTCCCCCAAGTCCAGGAAGCTGGATCCGGGGAACAGTCTGTCGGCCGGGAAGGGCTCCAAGACGGCGTCCATCGCGGCCGGCTCCGGGGACCCCCTTGGCTGGGCTTCCCTCACTCCAGGGCGGCG